GAATTCAGCAGCACCCAGGTTTTCAGTGAAAGGCATCGGTCCTGATCTTGAACATATCCTCCGTGACAAGCTCTCGCCTACCATGGTGTCAGTGGCACCTGTTTTGTGCTACAAGGACGTAACCAAGCATATTCTTAAGGGCTCCCATGCTTTATAATATGTTTATAAAATGAATCAAAATTCAGTCAAGAGGGAACTGACTAGGTGCCTTGTTTTTATTCCCGTTAAGCATTTTGTTTGTTTCCTTTCAGGTTTTGAGAACTTTGAACGGCTGTTAAGCGGAGCTCACTGGATGGTAAGTACTCCCCGAGATCTAGATGCGCTCTCTCTGTGGGGAAGTGAAAACGCCAGTGCCGCACCACGGAGTCTGTCAGCAGGGGGTGTCCTCGGTAGGGTGTGAGAGTTTCTCCATCTCCTAGGGCAGTTGCACAATTTCTGTCTCCCTCTCGTCCCGCCAGGACAATCACTTCCGCACCGCCCCCCTGGAGAAGAACGTGCCCGTGCTGCTGGCCCTGCTGGGGGTCTGGTACATCAACTTCTTCCAGGCGGAGACCCACGCCCTCCTGCCCTACGACCAGTACATGCACCGCTTCGCTGCGTACTTCCAGCAGGTCAGTTAGCGGGTCAGCCGTGAGCGGGCGGCTCGCCCCGATCCTGGGGACCACAGTCCAGTTATTCCTGTAGGTCACCCTAAATCGGGTTATGTAAAGGTCAGGACTGCCTGCTCAGGCAATCGATCAACTGAGCAAGTAACGTTTCAGTGGAGGATCTGTGTTCCAGATGAACTGTTTAATTGTTCCTACTTGTATTGTTCCAGGCCTTGTGAAATTGGCGATTTTAAAGTCTGCCTATAAAACCGAAACAGGGGCACTTTACAAGAGATTTAGAGGTTACAGCACAAGCTGTATTGCCCTAGTGTGAGGATTTGCTTGTCCCCTCTGTGGTTCGCTGCGTGTGAGAAGAGAATCGGGCTCGTGTGAAACGTGTCTGGTACTGAGAGCTCCATTGCCCGCAGGGAGACATGGAGTCCAATGGGAAGTACATCACCAGTAAAGGCAGCCGTGTGAACTACCACACTGGGCCCATCGTGTGGGGAGAGCCTGGGACCAATGGGCAGCATGCCTTCTACCAGCTCATCCATCAAGGTACAGCCCAGACTCCAGACTTTCCAGCCGTCTTCCAGACGGCAAAGCAGTTTCAGAAGCATTAACATCAGAGTGTTTCACCCCCCACGTATAATAGCAGAAGCCTTGCCTTATTCTGCTTAACCTTCAAAGTGACTATTGTATGCTAAAAACAGAACGGTCCTGCATGTAGGCCTTTGATTTGTAAAGGCCTTCAATTTCAGTTTTGCAAAGTTCATCATGCACAACCCTATTTAATAAAATATAAAGTCTGACGGTAGATATTCTTCTATTCATTTTGGATGTTTAAAATCTTTGCTGTTTCACCTAGATTTGAATTCAGAATTTAAGCTGTCCTGCATGAGCTGTTAACTTAGTGTTATGAAAAATCATTTCTTATGAGAAGGGAGCCTGGAGGTGCAGGAATGGGAAAAGGAACATGCATTACCTGGTGCTTCCCTGATGCGATGACGTGTGCAGAAGACCTAAAGAGAGTCTGCTTGGCTCTGTGATGTAATGTGCCTTTTTCTCTCTTCCCAAAGGAACGCGCATGATTCCCTGTGACTTCCTCATCCCCGTCCAGTCTCAGCACCCCATCAGAAACAACCTCCACCACAAGGTACAGCCGGCTCTGCCACGGTGCTGACCCTTGTAGACCCGGGCTTTCTTGATGCCCGTCTCGGCAAGGGTCCGCATAATGGATGGAACAGAACATCTTATCTGTTGAGCCACTGTCTGGGCAAGCATGCCTGGAGAGAAACAACCCTACAGCTTCTCCGTGTGGAAGTGAGCTTTATTTATTCCCTTGCAGCCAAACTACAGACTCTGCTCCCCACACAGATGACTAGAGATAATAGTAATAGCGGTAAGAGAGTGGAAATGCGTTATTTTGCAGTTGGTTTATCTGTAAAATCTGTTTGCGGAGGAGCTTTTCTGGAGGCTCTTGCTGACAGAGTGCTAGTGTGGACACCAAATGTTTAGGGGATGGAGGTGGGGGTTAATGAGAGGACAGTGAGAGAATACCCCATTTCCTTCACAGTATTCCTAAAGTCTGGAACAACTGTTTAATCTTCGGCCTTGCTTTCTGCGGTGTGTCCCAGATCCTGCTGGCCAACTTCCTGGCCCAGACTGAAGCCCTGATGAAGGGGAAGACCACTGAAGAAGCTCGCAAGGAGCTGGAGGGGGCAGGGATGAGCGGAGAGCCCCTGGAGAAACTGCTGCCTCACAAGGTGAGTCCTGGCACAGAAGTCAAGTTTAGAAACTGCACCGTTTTAAGTTTTTCTTCCCACTGTGCTGTGTACTTCCAGCGGAGCACATATATCATATGGTCCCTCTCGGGTATAAGACCATAATTTCTTTCCTATGATGAATTCACAAAGATGAAGGCAGCATTTCTTAATTTCAGATGTACTGGGATATGCAAAAAAAACTAATTTTCTGCTTATTTCCTTAATTAGGAAACACACTAGATGCACACTGTTGCGATAGCTTGTTATTCACCAAAAGAGTGAAGTTGATATCAGTCAATTGATGTGAAGTTCCCTTTTCTTTAACCAGGACTTGCATGACTTAAGTGTTTGCTGCCCTCTTTTGGTCATTAGTGGTAATGCATATGGATGTCTAACGCTTATGAAACCACTACTGGAGAAATTCATTCCTTTGGAGACCTAAAAGTTTGTGCACGCCTAAAATGTCTGTGCTTGCTCGTGTTCATCTGTTCAATTAAAGTTAAGTTACAAAATAAGCGCCTTGCAGAATGTTGTCCTGCACAATTTTCTAAGTTGCTTTTGACTAATACAGGAGTGTTGAAAATGTGTAGAGCACGATAAATTCAAATACAGCTTAGTGACACAGTGGTTAACATTGCTGCCTCACAGCACTTGGGCTCCAGGTTCAATTCTGAACCCGCAGTCTGTGTGGCATTTTTTTCCTTCCATTCACATGGGTTTCCTCCAGATCTGGTTTCGTCCCCCCCCATTGCATGCTAGTAGTTAAAATTGTCTTCTGGGAAATCTGGCCCTGGTGTGTGTGACGGTCTGTGTGACCTGCGGTGGACTGGTGTCCTGTCCAGGGTGTACCCTGCCTTGCGCATATTGCTTGCTAGGATAGACTCTGGCTCCCCTGCAAACATGAACTGGATAAAGCAGTTAGACAGTAGATGGATAATTCAAAATCTGTAATTACAAAATAATCGGCTGTATAGAATCGGGGATAATTGCAAAGCTCGGAACATTCAAGAAAGGGACCCTATATCTTATGGAATTGCTTGGAGGGCTTATCCTTGTCCTGTGGAGCTTGTCTCAACAAGTGGCTTAGTTGATTATTTCAGTGACTTAATGTGAAAGACGGCAGAGTGAAAAATCAATACCAGGGTCGTAAGGTTACAGTACTCAGAAACCTCAATCAAATATCATTAAGATCTGTATCGCTAGTAACCCATAGGCCACATAACTCGGTATTTGTTTTTTATTCACAGGTCTTCGAAGGAAACAAACCAACCAACTCCATTGTTTTTAAGAAGCTGACGCCGTTCATGCTTGGAGCACTGATTGGTAAGTGTAGCAGAACATGGGCCAAAAGACAACTTCAAATAAAGGGGTTCACTTTCACTGCTGCACGGTGCTTTTTAGTAGCTAATTTACCCCAAAACGTCAGGTTCTCCCAAAATATTGTAGCTGATCAGCACACATTTGCATAATGTTCTGTACTCTCGGCAATCTTAACTTGACTGCCTGTTTTTTTTTTAATTCCACTCATTTTGCTCGCCTTTTTTCTGAGGTTATAATTCAACCAGTCTGGCAAGACCCAAACAAACGAAAGGGAATTGGGGCCTTTCTGTCGTCTGGAAAATCAGCTGGAGTTTATTTGGGTGATCTAGTTTTACACAGGATCAAAAAATGACCAACATTAAAAAAAAAAAAACATTTCTTGGAAGTCAGTAGCCCCTCCATCTCCTTGAAGGATGTGGAAACCCTCACATTTCCCTGCTTGTCTGTCAAGTCCCCTTGCTCCTGAGACTGTGACCTCTGTTTCTTCCAGCTATGTATGAACACAAGATCTTCATGCAGGGTGTCATTTGGGAGATCAACAGCTACGATCAGTGGGGGTGAGTAACCCTTTCATGCAGAAGCTTGTCCTTATTTGAGAATTGGTATTGCATTAGTCATGTAGGCATGAGTGTTAGAAGTAACACATTGAATATTGTAGATTTTTACACTTCAGAATGTTTGCAATTTGTTTTCGGCGACTTCATCTTGAATATAAAAATTCTCCTTGCCTTATGGCAGCTTCTGCAGAGGAGCTTGCCTGAAGCAGAGCTGAGACAGCTCATGACATTTTCAAGCCCAGATCTTAAGACCTTTGAGTAAGGTCTCAGAATTTAATTGTGGTACGGATACTGACTGACTGTTATGTATTTAATGATAGCTGTTTTAGGGGTCTTTTTTATGTAAAGAACACGTATTATTGCTGTTGAAATGTTTACCAAAACCTTTGTTCTTTAACCATTCATTAAACACTTAAGATTTGAGTTATTGACCTGTTATGTGATCAAAAATAACACAGGCCAAACTTGTTTTGGTTGCCATTGAATAAATTTGAAATTTTATATATATACACTAACTTCAACTTCAGGAATTTAAAGATCTCTGAAATCTAGCTGCAATCATTATACACTACTGCTTCCATACTGATCTTGATCATTTTCACTGGTGGAATTAGGTCGCTGCGCAATTGAATTGAATTGAGTCGGCAGTGTTGAGAATTGGAAGGACAGCAGGCCCAGTGGCCCTGCTGTTTCTTGGAGCAGGAGTCTCCAGCCCAGCTCAGAGATTGCTACAGTGCTAGTTTTCTCTAAAGCTTTTAATTGCTTTAATTGAAGCAGTTCTTAACTAACCATCATTATGACAGGGTTGGACACAATGGTTCTAACCAGCAGGGTCTCTTTAAAAAAAAAAAAAAGCCTTTTCTTTTCTGGAATCTTCCAACAGAGTCGAACTGGGGAAACAGCTGGCCAAGAAAATCGAGCCTGAGCTGCAGGATGCTGGTGAGGTGACCTCGCATGATGGCTCGACCAATGGGCTGATCAGCTTCATCAAGAAGAACAGTGCCTGACCTCCCCGCCCATGGTTCATGGGAGGAGACTGCGCGACTGTCCGGTCGATGTTGTAGTCGCCGCTTGTTAGCCATAACCGAGGAGCTAAAGCACTTTACGTCTGTATTCACCTGTCTTGTGTCCTGAATTGTCAGTTGTGAGTCTTGTCTAATAAGGGAGATGCTTTTGAAAACCTGTGATTTGTGCAGATCTTAGACCACACCATCCCACTCTTTGCCTAATCATGAGTCACGACTTACCAAAATAAATGTTTTACTTGTTGGCCACATTACATTTCTTTTGCTTCAACTTCATTGCCCTCTTAGGAAAGCATTCCCCATCATTCTCTTTTCTAGAGATATGCAGTATTGGAACATTAAAGTCTTCTGATGCAGAACAGAATCCTGAATGTCATTTGAAGAGAAGCACAATTACTTCTAGGAAGAAGAACCCATGGCCGTTTGCATGAAGTGCTGGGAGGACAGATTGTACCGAGATCCTCAGGTTGCTGAATACAATTCTTCGGTCCCTAACCAGCTATGAGTAAGACATCAGGCCCTGGAGCTGCTTCAAGCTTTACAACACTTCCATCCTGGGTCCTCATGACCTCCGTTTCTCCAGGTGCTCACAGAAACAAACCTTTAACTGAAGTACTTGAACCCTTAATGAGCGAGATAAGATTAAATTCTTAAGATGGCTTCTGAAGTGGTAGAAACTGTTAAATCTCTCGTGCATCTTAAGGCTTTTGGGAGCAACTTGAAGACTTGCTTAGGAATTTAGTTCCAGCTGGGTTGCTCTTAAATCCTTATCACTCTGCTGGCAGCCGACTGCCCTACTGAAGCTCAAGTAAATTACACAATTTTACTGAAATTTAAGAATACATTCAAAGTGAACAGGTTTATAGAGGAGCTTTAAAAAGTTTCTGTATTTAAACAGCTGTATTGTAAAATGTTCACCATGGAATAGTGTAATTCAGTACCATGAGCATCCCTCTTTCTTTGACAACAATTAGAACGGATGAAAATGCTACCATCACAGGTGTCCACCAGAGGGCACTCTGTATATTCCCAAGACTTCAAATGTGGTTAACACCAAGTGGTGTGAACTGCTGCTCTTCATGGAAGTGTCTCTCTGGCTCATTTGTACAAACACCACAATGCATCGCTCCATGTCCTCATGATGTACTTACCTGAAGTGGTTAGCTAACTTTAGTTCAAACCATTGCTCATTTATTCAGACAAGTTTGGACAGCAGTCTTATCACTCTGAAAATCACAACTGGGAGCCCCACTGATGCTCAGAAGCTATGAGCCTGACCAGTACCTGGATGGGAGACCTCCTGGAAAAGGTGAGGCAGCTGCTGGAAGGGGTTAGTGGGACCGGTAGGGGGTGCTCACCTTGCAGTGTGTATGGGTCCTAATGCTTTGACTCTTTAGTTATTACAGATCCCAAGACCTTTCTCAAAAAGAGAAGGGTGTTAACCCTGGTATCCTGGCCAATACCAACAAAGGCCTCCTCATAATCCCTGTGATCTGGCTTCATCACTCTCCTCCCCCCTGAGAGCTGATGTGTGGGGAGCGTGCTGGCGCACTTTGACAGCCATCACAATCGTTGCTATTTTTATTATTCACATACTGTATTCTTTTTGTGAACACAAAAATAAAATTCACATAGTTATATCTGTATTTGTGCCAAATACAGCCGAGTCATTTCTCCAGTACTTCGTGTATTTTGGGACGTGGACATCGCTGAGTGGCCCTGTGCAGCACAGAATAACAAGTCTGTTATTCACACAGTACATGTAGATGTCTTGAGGCTCATGATAAACAGAACAATGTCTATTGTTACCATTTTACCAGCATGAGTGATGCTGTCAGAAAAGACTGAATTGCTCACAGCCAGTTATTCTTTAATACGTCTCTCCTGTGTCCGAGGTAAATGAGGCCCATGTGTGACTCTTGGCAAGCTCAGACAGCTGCCTGCATTTCGAGTCCCAGTGGAAGGACAAGGCCAGGATTTCCAGTAGGTTTCTTGGAAATGGGCAGCAGAATTTTCCCACAGACTTCTACTGGATAATGCCTACAATTACACCACAAAACAAGCAAGCTGTGTACATGCCCTGTCATCGCCTGGACTTTGTTATTCCTTCTTTCGGGCTGTTTTCTCCCAAATCCAGGATGAAGAAGGAACACAGTAGAAATAACAGCATCGCTTCACTTCTAACGTAATAACATTCTGAGGAACTGTTCAGAGGGCATTAACGAAGAAACGGTAATAAGCTTCCTCTTTATGAGTGTGGGAGTGCCATACTGTGCATTACTGGCAAACAAATAAGACCCTTATTTTGTTTTTGAGTAAACTGACAGCTCCAATTAAAATGAAGGTTTTCCAAACAAGGAAAATAATACTTTAAATATTTTCAGTTTACTTTAGGTATGGTATTTTTTACACATTACAGACGATTATAATCTAAAACACGTGTTTCATATGTGCTCGATAGCTATTTTCTTTAATTATTCAACAATAATGTCATCCAGGTAGAGTATGCACATTGGTGGTGGTGGAGGGGATCCCCATTACCTGTAAAGCACTTTGATTGGAGTGTCCAGAAAAGCGCTATATAAGTGTAAGCAATTATTAATTATTATTATTATTATTATTATTATTATTATTAATGTGTCAAACCTAGTACAACGTTCAATTAATGAATGCCTAATGAACAGAAAATCCTTCAGTAATGTGCAGTCTGGTATTAACACACCAGCAGGAAGGGTCTTTGCGGTGATCATGTCCTTATCCAGGTAACATCCTGTGGAATTCGGACTTGTTTTGTTCCGGCTCAGAAAAGAGACGTGGGAAAAGACATTCTGCAGCCACGTTTCCCGACGGGTTTTCACCATCTACTGAGCACGTCCCTGCGCCCTTACTGCTGGAAATACCTTAGTGACTGAACAAGGCAAGTTCCCAAACGCTTAGCTTCACAGCACATTTACTTACAGCTCTTCTGAGACTAATAAATCGGATGCCTGTAGGTCAATTCAGCCGTTGCACCATGAAGCCCTTATATAGAGTTGACATGTATATATGGAATCATGGGACCCCACTCCCTTGGGCAATGGCAGGACCTACCAGACAATACCTCAGCAGCTCTGCACGCCTCTTCAGGTCAGTGTTATAACCATCTATATCGCAATAATGTTCACGCTTTTATTGAATCCTTTATCTAAGCAAATGAGAGAGACGTTGCCTTTCACTAGGGACAACAACATCCAAGTTATGGAGGAAAATTATATCGCGATAATTATCGTTATCGAATTATCGCCCAGCCCTACATCCCAGGACTGAGTGCTTGGTGAAAGCGGGGATTCCTTGGTGGGGTAGGTTTGGATGAACCTGCTTGTTCATGGGCAGCCTCCTGGCTGCAGGATGAGGGCTCGAACCCCAGCCAGACTGAGGGGACCCGGGAGCAGCTGCAGGGTGGAGGAGGGAGGCGCTTGAGTTCGGTTTATGTAGCAAGTCTGGCGATGATAGTGACTAGGTGCAGCTGGGTGAGATTGACTTGTTGTTCTTGTTATCCCTCCTGAACTTCACTTAATAACTTCCATTTAAAACAACAACCTAGAAAATATTCATGTCTCCAGGGGAGTCCATCTTCTGGAACAATACGTTACCCTGCTCCATGGTACAATAACAGCACCACCCACAAGGGATGAGAAGCACTGAACCTCTCATTTAGAGGGCAGAAATCTAACCACTACCTCACGATGCCACCTGGCCTGCTTTTTATGGTCACGTCTGCATATAACTCAAACGTCATTGCTCAACGGTGCACAGGTCTTACCATACAGCTGTCTGACTAGGTCAGCTTTCTGTAAGCACACTCAGAATCTCAATCCAGAAATGCAACTGTCTACCAGCTACAGTCACTGTGTTCTGCACCTCACATTTCATAGACAGCACTTACATGTGCTCTGTGGATACTTTGATTTCTTTCAAACAGTCTGACCAAGCCCTAAGACCCAGTCACAGGGTCTCAACATTGGCGAGGGATCAAAGCAGAGAACTGTGCATGGAAAGGGGGAAAATGTCTTACATTTCCCCCCTAGAGGATTGAAAAAAAGTATTTTGAATTTAACTGAAAGTTGGAGTAACAAGAACATTGAACTCTTGAGTATTGCAGTGCAGACAGCTGCCACTGGAGGGCACTAATTCTTTAATTCCAGCAAAGTGATGAACAAAATACAGTGTGTGGTCCAGTCTCTAAGGTGCCCAACTCTTATCTGCATCCAGGGACTGTCATTAGAGTCTTTTTTATCTTTCTATGGTCATCACTTGAATTTTAATATTTCAATACAACATTAAAATACTTTTCAGTCATTACAAGACGGTAAGGACTTAGTCAAATTTAAAATAAGCAAGAGGGTCACATACCCAAAACATCCCACTGCTTAATCCATAATAATTACTTGGATTTCTATAGCACCTTTCATCCCAAATCACCTTCCATATAGAAGTCCTTTAAAAAGCCACAGCCCCTACACAGCAGATGAGGTAGAGAAGCAAGAAATAGCTCCTCCAATTGAATTAAATGCATTAGTACTTTATTATATAAGGGAGCGTTACTTATCTGTTTTAACCAAACATACTATGTAATGTAATACATTATGTGACGGTACAATGTTGAGACACTATTGTACTGACTGATGCCAAAAATCAAAATTACACCAAACTGATCACAGGTCTCGAGTCTTTGTTCACAATGCTAGATTGCAGTGCCGTCTATACAGAGTTTGCATGTTCCTGTTGAGTTTTGTGTTTCTTGTCCAGGCTGCAGTCTCATCTGTGCCCCCACTGTGTTTTCAGAATGACTCTTACAAGGAATCAGCAGCTTTCTGATAGTGGATGGATGGTAATAAAATGCTTTGAGAACCGATGGCTGGGTCCACAGTGAATCTGCTAAGTCTCACAGTATGTACTGAAAACAGGTAGCAAAAAAAGGGATGTGAAAATTTTATGACTTCAAGGCTGTTGGAGGAGTCTCTGGTTAATACCAGGGATAAGAGCTTGGAATCTCTCTAACCTGACTCTCTACCGCTCAGCTGTAGTCAGAATAATACCAGCTGCAGCCTCAATGAGAGGGCTTTGAAATTGTTTTTTTTTTTTAGTTTTAAGGGCTTTCTCTTCAAACTTCAGAAGCATATCTGTTTCCCAGAATACTGCAGCTGGTTACAAATTCCTGAGTTATCTGTGTTTGAAATCACAGCACAGCAAAAACTACAGCCCCTCTGAGACT